CACACACACACACACACACACACACACACACACACATAGAACACAATTTCTAATAACAAGATTTCTATTCATTACTCCTTTTTACACAATTATACCTATTCCTATTAGTTCACTATAATATAGTGGTTACATATTATGGTTATAAATACATTGATTGCCTCATACTATTCAATACCAGAGTACCATGCTCAGGGTACTGAATCCCTAAATGGTAAATGGAGTCAGTTTATAATGCAGAAAACTATTTTTAATATTAACATTTGCAAAATACTTATTTATCAATTGAAATACTGTACAATGAATCATGAATTTCAAATGACCCTTCCCCTTACTTGTATTCAATTGAACACAGCTTTAGGTTTTATAAATGTTTTCTAATATAAAATATTTTTAATTCAATTATTAGTGTTTAGTTGTTGTTTTTGTTAACAACTGTTGTTGTGATAAAAACAACAAAATATGAGTATTTTTTCATCAAATATAAGACGAGTGATGAGAATAAGGGTCACGAAGTCAAGGATGAGAACAATACCATTGATTTCTCAATATGTTATGCACTTAAGTGTCTCAATATCTATATATGAATCTCTTTTGTCTATAAAAATAACAATAATTATACTCTACTTATGAGATGAAAAGTTTTTAAAATCTTTAGTTTATGAATAGATTTTTTTTGTCATCAAATAAGTTATTATACTTAAGAACTTATTGTAAAAGTTGTTAGTTTTAACAAATTTCTTTAACAAATAAATTGAAATTATTTTCTATACAATATTCAATGACATTCATCTAAACAGAAAATGAATTTAGATATTTTTAGATAATTAAGTAAAATTTAAAAATCTAGTAATAAAATATTTTGTTTGGAAATATCAAGATTTTGGTTTATTTGTTTAACTTTGAATCCCAGAGTTTTTCTAAACAGAACCTTATTTTCATTCAAAGTCATGTTTTATAGTATTTTTATTATACTTGTATTTATCATATAAGTTTTTCATCAAATTAAACATATTTTTTCTATTGTATTTATTTAGAAGAAAATTTAAATTAAATAAAAACAAAACTATATTTAAACTCGCTACAATACAACTTATTGTATACTTTCTATTCATCTGTTTTATTAAAGTAATCTTGTGTTAAATCTGAAAATAATTCATTTTTCACTTAAATACAGTTCTTATATACTCACAATCATTGTATTACATTGGCTTTAAATAAATTTTTGTGTTTTATTAATACAATTGAGTTTTATATACACAATGAGCGCAATTTTAAAGCAAAATATTTAATGGATTATAATTAAAGTGTAGAAACAAAAGCTGACAAAATGCTAATCCATTATCTCATGAAAGCGTGTAATCAATGTCTTATGGAAAATGAATTAAAAATTAAAAACACAACTTTTGGCACTTTCATGTTTAATTGCATTGAAATTTATTTTTAAGCTTTAGTATTGTGTTCAAAAATAATTTATTTTTAAAATTACTATAGTCGTTATGTGTAAACTAATTTTTAAATATATTCTTTTGTTGACATAATAGTAAATCTAAATGTTTAAATTATATTGTGATATTAATTCAGGTGTAAATAAATTAATATTATGATAAAATAAAATTTTTTATTAAATATTTTTGATTATATAATGAATTATATAATATATTGATTTCCTGAGTATAAAATTGCAATTAATTATATTATAATCAATAATCTCAGTAATTATAAACTCATATAGTAATTATTGCTAATATTATTCATACATTGTATTTAATAATTATGAACATTTGGATAAAATTCACTTGTAATTTTACAAAATGTTAATTTAATTTTAATAAAGTTATTCTAATGCTAATCTGTACTTAATTTGTGAAAGCAAAGGATATAATGTAAATAATTAATTAAATCTATTTGTACAGCAATTAGTTTGGGAGAGACCTTAAGAAAATTTGAATTTATTGTTTTTGCACTCAATATAATAATTATAATCAATTGAAAGCAATTATAGCTTATACAGAATTCCTTAAGAAATAATATTCTATAAGAGATAATATATTATATTAATTCAAAGCCACAATGAATGCTAATTAGTGATCAAAAAATAAATTCCTTGGGATTATCACTAAAAATAGTTATGATGTGATTACCAATAATTTAAACAATAATAAAACATACTTTTCCTTTTATACCATTTATTCAATCCATGAATTTATTCTTTCAATGCACTTAAGAAATACAAAAACATACCATGCTGTATACTGTATTATCAATTCTTGCTATCAATAGTGTAGTTATAATAATTGCAATTATAATAATTAAGTTTACAATATTTATGAAGAATTCTTTATAAGGAATAAATAATCTCTCTCTCTCTCTCTCTCTCTCTCTCTCTCCCAAACTAATTGCTGTACAAATAGATTTAATTAATTATTTACATTATATCCTTNTCTCTCTCTCTCTCTCTCTCTCTCTCATCACTAATCTCTAATAATATTTAATAATCCAAACCATTAAATGTCTTCACGAATACTAAACAATGGATACAAAAATAAATAAACTTAAATGAATGGACAGAATACTTATTATGAGTATTTAGCAAACAATTTAATGATAATCTTATAGAAATTTTGATGGGTTTTTCTCAAAATACATTACACTTTTGAAATATGAAGTATGCATACCTTATAAGGTATTAAAAGTTGTTGTATTACCAGGGCATATTCATGTTAAGTTTAGGAAATAAAATTTAATTTAACTTGTAAACTTACCTAATGTATATTTTACTAATCTGCCACTTCTGTGTTTAAATGAAATTTTATTTTTATTGATTACATTTCAATAAATGATTAGCTATTGATTTATATAATATGAATAATAATAGGTTTGCAAATCATTATGACATGGATGTCAGCCTTGGTTGAACATAATATTAATATAATATACAAATTGTACTATATTTATTTCTATAAAAATTTATATTAAACTAAAAGGAAATGGGTGAATGGAAAGGTAGTGTAAAAGTTAATTCTTTGGACAGACAATTCTTAATAAATGAAGGTTTCAATTACAATGTATGATATTTGTAATGTAATGTAATTTTTATTCAATTTAATTAATATCTCAATTTCCAAATAGTATGTTAATAGAAAACTGATGGTACTTTAACACCCACTAAATTATAACACACATTTGATATATTCATGTAAAATATTTTTATTCAAATTTCTTATCAATTACAGTAATATTTAAATACAATGCAAAAATTTAAAATATTAAAATTAATTCTTTGAATATCATACAATATTTTATAGCGAAGTACTGTATTGATTATAAATTCATTTTCAATCATTAAAACCATGTTTTATTATCAATAATTATTATCATCTCTCTCTCTCTCTCTCTCTCTCTCTCTCTCTCTCTCTCTCTCTCTCTCTCTCTCTC